ATTTTTACAATTAATTTTTCTATACAAAAGAATCTAGAAGAAATATACAAAAAAACTTTCCATAGAAGATAATAATTCATCAATTTGAAGAGCAATCTTTATTTATTGGTATAATGAATGATTTATATGAAAATGTACATAAATTATCTAAGTCATACCAAAATTAGTGTGTGGTGGAGATACCTTAATTGCGTAGTTATATAAAGCTTTATGAAATTTTTCTTTCCATTTATTCTGATAGTCAAAATACTGCTCTATTTTAGATCGAGCCAACTCAAGGCTAAACAGGTCACAAGATCTGTCGCGCTTGAGTTTTCAGAAGTGGAGCGATTTAATGAAATGAAATTGAAAAAGTGTCATGGTACGCTTTTACAGAAAAAAAAATGAAAAATGTGCCGGATCATAGGTTCGAACTACGCTTTCAAAATGTGTCGCATGTGTTATACAAAATGTATCGTAATGAGCAGCTCGTGTCGTATTTTAATATGTATTGTGTCACAAATCACGACACACTTTATCTTGGTGTGTTGATGCTAGTTAATGAGTGATCAAATAGCACAGAAAAATAGAGCACAGTTTTCTTTATCACTACATCAAAAAAAGAAAATTTTTTCACGGTTTTTCTACGGAAATAAAGTAATAGTGCCACTACTTTTGGATTGTCCTAAATATATATGGGGGTGCTCAGTCTGGCTGGAAGCCCCAATCTCTTTTTTATTGTACGACTACTATTTATTATGAGAAACATATGATTTTTTTACGAATTTTAGTATTGATAAAGAGCTGAGGATCTGCTATTGTTTGGATCATATTTCTTGTTCGAAACTACGATAATCAGATATTATCATAAAAAGTTTTGGTAGAATACACTTTCACGTTTACTGATTACATGAATTTTGTAATAAAAAGACTTAACCATCAACAGTGCATCTGGGATCGATGCATCAGTAATAATCAGTGGCCATAACAATTACAGTTATATATAGACATCTTCAATATGTGTAAATCACAACTAGAGAGGCCGACGAAAAAGTATCTTTTGTCATCCAATATTCAGTCTTGTTTCGATTGAATCATCTCTATATCACTTTCGACTTTCTTTCTCTATTTTTGCTCGTAATTTTACTTTAACACATTTTCACCAAAACTATCTGTTTGCCTGTATACCACCATCATGTCAACTTCATCGCAAATCAAATAGGATTGTCCTGATTGTCAAATTACTATGAACGATCGTCATAAATATTGCAATAATTGCAAATCAATGTTAGTCTGGACATGCGTTGCTTTTGAAAAATCTGGTTTGTACAGTAATTATCATCGACATCTTAAAAGATGTGATTATTGTACACCAGAGCTTGAATAAGAACTTCAAATTTTATATGATGACAAGCAACATTTGTGTTTGTAGTTAGCATCTGAACTTCGATTCTATTGTGTAGCTTATCTTACATACACAATAGCGAAGTATTATGATTTTTTTTTACTGATTTTGTACTCTAGAGCAACGTCCATGGTCAGAATGGAGTCGTAGCAATGGTTCATGTATACAGCATAAAGGACATGACATCGATGCATGAAATACAACTGTTATACAGTATGTGTGAACAATCGCTTGCAGAATATTATACCAACAGAAAACAACAACAAACAAATGATACAAATATACCATATTGATCTCCGATCAATCTCCTTTCAATTACATTATGGTATTTGAAGCATTATCACTCTGAACGCTATATAGCAACCGAGTTAAATTTTGGTAGATCAACAGTGCATTATTTTTTATCTGCGGTGATAGATATTTTATATTCATCCGTATACCCGAAATTGATTCTATTATCTGATGATATGGATGATGAAAGTATAGCACATGAACAGAAGAACATCACAAATTAATTGTTGATTCGACTTTTATTGCAATTTATCAATCAGAAGATTCTGAACAACGTAAGGCATACTATCATGCAAAAAGTCCAACAAACTATGCATTTAAAATACAGATAACTTGCGATTTTAATCATCGAATAGTTCATGCATCCAAATGTTACCACGGTGATGTACTTGATATTACTATCTTAAGAGAATCAAGATTCTTAGAACATACAAAAGAAAATGTACAAATTATTGCTGATAAAGGTTATATTGGTGAACAATATGTTATCACTCCAAGAAAGAAACCCCGTGGTGGTGAATCAACAGCTGAAGATAAAGATTTTAATCGATCTATTTCCAGTGCAAGAGCAGCGATTGAAAATATCAACCAACGTGTTAAAAATTATGCCATTTTAGGAAGTACTTACAAAGAACCATACAATGATTTTGAGAAAATTACTAAAATTACACATGTGGTTGCTGCTTTATGTAATCTTAAGTTGAGTAAACATCCTATTCGTAATACTTGACTATGATATGTTAGCTGCAGTTTCTAGTCAATTGTTCCTAATAAACGTTGGTCAGGTGTATATCTTGCTGTTTTAGATAAATAGTACGAATTTCAATGAGTGAATGTGATAAACGTATATTACAGAAAAAGATCTCACGAAGCTATCTGATTCTTCAATTTTGAAGGGAATGTATGACCGAAGTAATACCAAATCCTCAGCTCTTTATCAATAGTATAATTGGCAAAAAAATCATGTTTCTGATAATAAATAGTAGTTGTACAATAAAAAAGAAAGGAGGGCTTTCGGCCAGACTGGGCACCCCCATATGTGTAATTACTTACTATAAAATTTAGCCATGATCGGTGAACAAACTTTTCAACTTCTTTAAGTTTATGTTCAAATTCTTCTTTTTCCACTCATTGATTTGATTCCATTCATTTAAGTACTGATTCAATTGTTTCCGTTATTTTAGTTTAATCATCTGATGAAATCTTATCATAATTAATACTTGTTTTCATATTAAAGCAGTATGATTCAAGTGAATTTTTAATTGATATACGTTCACGTTGTATTTCATCTTCTTTCTTATATTTCTCAACATTAGCAATCATTCGTTCAATTTCACGTTTCAATAAATGAGCTTCATCACTTGTAAGTGCAATTTTTATTTTTACGACTAGTTGGCTCAGCAATAGCTGAAACATTTAAAATATCATTTGCATCAATATCAAATGTAACGTCAATTTGTGGTACACCTCGAGGAGCTGGTGGAATAACCGAAAGTTCAAAATTATCAAGTAAATGATTGTCACATGTCATTGAACATTCACCTTCAAAGATTTTAATGTAGACATCGGGTTAGTTATCCGAATAGGTGGTAAATATTTGCGTTTGTTTAGTTGAAATGGTTGTATTGCGTTTAATTAAAACTGTTATAACACCACCAACAGTTTCAATACCCTATTAAGGAGAAAAAAAAACAAATTATTAACAAAGACAAAATAAACCAATTTTTTTTTCATTCTTCCCAATGAAAGTGGTGTAACATCAAGTAAAAGTACATTTTTAACTACTTCTGATTTATCACTAGTTTAAATAGCAGCTTGTACAGCTGCACCATAAGCAACAGCTTCATCAGAATTAATTGATTTATTCAGTTTCTTTCCATTAAAAAAAAAATCTTAAAGTAATTTTTGTACTTTTGATATGTACGCGTTGAATCACCAACAAGTATAATTTCATGAATACTTGCTTTATTCATTTTAGCATCATGTAAAGCTTTTTCAACTAATTCAAGTGTTGAACAAAATAGATCTTCAAATCGAACACGTGTTATTTTTGAATAGAAATCAATACCTTCATGAAGTGAATCAATTTCAATTGACACTTCTGCTGCTGATGATGATGATAATGTACGCCATATAAATAAAATAAAATGAATTTTTTAAGAATAAAATAAAATTTAAAACCTACTTTAGCATGCTCACAAATTGTACGTAAACGATGTAAATCACGTTTATTTTATGATAAATCTTTATTATTTTTTCGTTGAAATTCTTGAATAAAATGTGTTAACATTCGATTATCAAAATCTTCACTACCTAAATGTGTATCACCAGCTGTTGATTTCACTTTAAATATATCATCTTCAATTTTAAGTATTGATACATCAAATATACCACCACTCAAATCAAATATAAGAATATTACGTTCATCTGAAGCTTTCTTATCTAAACCCTAAGCAATAGCAGTTGCTGTTGGTTCATTAATGATACGTAAAACATTAAGATCAGCAATAATATCAGCATCTTTTGTTACTTGTCGTTGTGCATCATTGAAATAAGCTGATACAGTAATAACAGCTTCTGAAATTTTTTTAAACTAGATATGCTTCAGCTATTTCTTTCATTTTTATTAAAACCATTGATGAGATTTCTTCAGGTATAAATGATTTAACTTCATTTTTATATTCAACTTGAATTTTTGGTTTACGACTTTCATTAACTATTTTAAATGGCCGATGTTTCATATCAGGTTGAACTATTGGATCATCATATTTACAATCAATAAGTCGTTTAACATCAAATATTGTATTATTTGGATTCATAGTCACTTAGTTTTTAGCAGTATCACCAATTAAAGCATTCACTCTCAGTGAATGCTACATATAGGACGGTGTTGTTCGATTACCTTGCTCATTAGCAATAATTTCAACTTTACCATGTTGGAAAATATCAACACATTAGAATAAATAATTTGTATGAGTACACACCAATAATAACAAAAAACAACAAAATTAATTACATACAGAGTATGTAGTACCTAAATCAATACCAATAGCGTGTGCCATTTCTGTTCACAAATATAGTGAGTGTAGTTGAATTAATTTCTAATTTCCAGCAAAAATAATTACGAGAAATTTCTCGACTTTTCGAGAATGTCCCAGTGTGAGTGCGTTTGTGGCTACGGGTTTCATGATTCATAGACCTACACGAGTAAGAGTGCAAGTGTTTTATGTGCCTTTATTTATATATCCTAAAAAAAAAGATTATCAATGATAGTTTATTTGCATCTTTCTTTCCATCTCAACTGTAAAGAAGATATTTGTTTTAATGACAACAGTCAATAGGTATAAAGTAAAGTTAATTATCTTGTTTACAAAAAACAAAAAACAAAGTACAAACTGAAAAACTCTGTGAACAAGAAAAATTATTGATAAACGAAGTCAAAATAGTTACAAAGAGGAACTATACAGTTTTTATTCGTTTTTCTTTACTAATTCAAATGGTATTGTTGTTGGACGAGCAGGAAATAATTCATAAATATCTTCAATAGACATATCCGACTCAATTGTTATTCGATCGTCAGCCAAAGCAATCAATTCATACATATGACAATTTAGATATGAAATACGCAATTTTTGTAGTGTTTCTTCAATGATTGTTGCTGCTGAAGTTTCGTCAGAACAAGGCAAGATAATTGTTTGATTATCATATCTGACGGAGCTATTTTTTGATGCTATTGAAATTAATTGAAATTGAATTTGACTCATCGTTGAATCAATATCATCTAAAGAAACCTCGTCATCATCAAGTAAACAATCCATATGCATTAATCGATAATAATTATTATTTAAACTAAACAATTGACAAGCAATGGCCGACAAACGTTTGACTGTGATTGTCAATGCACAATGAAATTTAACTAATTGATTATCTTGACTATTTATAATGGACACTGTAATTGGCAAATTACCATCAATTAAAGTAAATCGAATAGGTGTTACTGATGAAAAACAAATTAACTGAGTTTCTGTTGATGGAACAAAATCTTCCAAATATAAAAGATTTTGATGATCAATATCAATTTGATTTTCTCTGTAAATATCACCAATTGTAGCAAAAATAGTAAATCGTTGATGAATCTCATTTTGTTCATCATCATTAAGATCAATTAATTGAATAACTTTAGGTTTTTTGATTAATACAAGACATGTTTCATGTTCTTTGACCAGAATAAATTTTGTATCAATTAAATTCGAAAGTTTTTCACTAAAATCAAGAATTTTCTTTGAATAATTCGAAGCTAAATATTTATAAACATCAATTGAAGCTTGTGTCAATTGAAAAATATGTTCAATAGTTGTATTTCTATTTGGTAAAAGTATTTGTAATAATTGTTGATTATCATATTTTAATATTTGAATTGCAATTGATATTCGAAAATGAATTGCTTCATTATCAGTATTTAAATAATTTCCAATAGATTGTCGAATATCATCTTGAGATAAAATTCGTTCATTAGTTTCTCCCAAAACTAGTACACAATCGTTTGGAGATATATCAATAAGATTTAATTCTCTTAGAAGACGTTCATTGTTTAATACATGACATATTCTCATTGATTTTAATGCACATACTAATACACTATTATTTTCATAGGAGAAAATTACATTAGTTGTACTATCACGAGTTATGCTATCGATAATTGTCGATTTTGTTTGCTCTATAGTTAAAGATATTGATTGATTTTCATCAAGAATTGTTTTTTGTTGTTTATCAAAAAAAGCAATTTTGTTGACAGGAGAATCAATCAATTGAGTAAAATGTTTTAACCATTGATCAATTTGCTGCCATTTTGTTGTTGGATGAAATAAACTTATTTGTTCTGTATCTATATTAAATGAATAAGAATAAATTAAAGAATAAAATTCAAAAACATATGTTTTATATGATATCTTCTACGAGTAATTCTGAAAACTAGCATAGAAGAATACTCTGCTGTTCGGATTGCTTGCGATATAGGCTGCTTCGATTGTGCGATAATTTTCCTACAACTACTACTAGCTGTAGTCTCGAACAAAAGGCTGGTTTAACTAAATTTTTTCTCGCTTAACTTTTCTATCGCCAACTATGAACTAGTAGCCTAATTCCCACCTTGGGTTCCTATGGACCCGGGTTGAAAAAACAGTAATACTGTACAAAATTATGATTAGTTTAACAAACCTGTGGAGAGTATATAACAAACTTTACCACAAGAACAACAAATAGGAAAGTAAATGGTTTTGGTTTATTTTACTTCAATCTTTTATTATTTTTATTTCTTTATGATAGTTAAAAATATATATATCGCAAAAGTAGCTTTCATGAGCACTTCTGGTCATTGTGTTGCATCAACGACAACTGAAATTGATTTGTCGATATAATGCACGTAATCTATTACTCTTCGTTAATGCATAATTAAAGGATCAAGATTCGGTCGTATATTAAATATGTATAACTTCAAAAAAGAAATCGGCTGAAATCCGTGCGAACTTCCAGTGATGATATAATGGTTAATCGCTTAAGCTCTTCGTATATACTGGCTAACTACATAATATATACAAGCTCCTTTTTTTATATGTCAACCACGTAGTCAGTTTGCTATCGGACGGATGATCCGAGTCAAAAAGCAGTTAATGACTTCATGCCATGTCTGATGGCCTCAAAGTTCGAGCACAGTACCTTTTAGATATATCTCAAATATCTTAAAGACTAGGAGACGTTGCACGAACATATACGACACCACCGAAGTTCGATAGAGTTCGTATGCTAGTGCTTAATTGAATTTCTGCGAAAAACCTTGAATAAATATCTAATCGTATGCTTACTTTGTTTAGGACGTAGTGTGACTTCACAAAGCATATTCGTTTGATTATCTTCTTCTGTAACTGTAATTGGAATTGTTTTATTATCTAGATGATTTATTTGACTAATTAGATCAGCAATAGTTCCATTATCAATGGTTTTTCCATGTTCATCGAAGAAACAGAGATAAATATTATTTGATGAAAGTTTAATGTTATTGTCATTGATAAAACGATCAATAACTATAGAAATATTACATTTCGATGTAGAAAAATATTGGAATAGATTATTCTGATAATTGAATTGAATTGATAATAATGAAGTTTTTTCAATAATAAAATATTCAAGAGATATTTCTTGTAACAATTGAACATTTGTATTTGTAAAATCGACAAAAAATTCATTCTTATCAACGACAACATATTTATTAATATCATATTTTTCTTTTTCAAAAAGATTACGTAATCTTTCAAATAAATTTTCTCTTTTCCACAAATAAGTATGATCTTTTCCATCGGCATGAATGACAATAAATTTTTGTGCTTTAGTCAAAGATACTACTTGTGCCTGTGGTTCTTGAAATCTTATATGGATTTGCTCGAATAAAGTTGATAATGTTAATGGAACAAATTTAATATGTAATTCAAATAGAGATGAATATTCTAAATGTTGTTCATCGATTGTTAAATGTTGTGGTTGTCGAACAAAATCATCACGATCAAGTAAATGATCTATATTCGAATAATTAGTCATATCCTGAAGAATTTCCGGCCAAATATCATTATCATTGGAGTCAATTATAGTTTGTGATGTTTCATTTGATATTGATGATGATTCATTGAGATAATTAAGAAAACGATTTTCGTATTTTTGTTGTTCTTCAAAAGTTTTAATATTGAAATTTTCATCCCATTGTTTAGTTTGTTTTTCTTCAATATTAACAATACGTTCTTGAAGAATTGTTCTCATACGAATAAGATGAATACTAACAGCAACATAATTTTCACATTTTATTTCATTTGGTATAAAAACAAGAATATTATTATCAATATTTAAAATTTCACATGTTTCTTTTAATGAATGAGTTGACTGTCGTAATAGAAAATGTTCAATTGATCTTAAATCATTTAATAAATCAGTTATAGTTTGTATTGTTAATTTTATTTTATCAATATTATCATTATAATCAATACTAATTATAGCTGCTGTTAACATTTGATTAAGTTCATCATCCAGTTGAGAATCAATTGATATTCGAAGTAATTGTGATACATCAGTAAATAAATGTTGAAAACCACTAATTGAATTTTCATATAATTGTCGAATATGATCAATATAACATAATTGAAAATCTTTTATTTCATATTGTTGAATTTGTTCAAATAAATTATTATCATTATCTAATGATTGAATAAATTCATAAAGAGTAAGTAGTGATAAATCATCTTGATAATTTTTTAAAATAATTGTTATTTGTCGTAGAAGATTATGACCATGATAAAGTTTATCTAAATACATATCTTTTAAATGATTCCAATCAATTTCTAATTGTTGATTAGTTAATTGTATAGAATATTTTTCATCAAGATCTAATATTTCTCTATCTGTTATATTTTGTATTCGTCGTCTATGACATTGATAATTTTGAATTATATGTCGATAATTAATACGACAAAATAGAAGATATGTTCGAATAATATATGATTGAAGATAGATAAAATCAAAATTTAGTTTTGTATCTACACGTTGAAAATATTCATTATTTTCATTGATAAGAGTTGCACAAGATAATTGTTCAATTGATAAACAATCATTTTCAGTTAATGTTATCACACCAGTATTATCATGAATGATTTGTAGAATTGATACTTCTTTTAAAGTTATATTATTAACTAAATTTTTCAAAGCTCCGAATATTTGATTATCATTATTATCCATTTCTTGTACCAGTAAATTCAATAGATTATTGTGATAGTCAATC